TCCTGTAGTGCCTTTGCCCGAAGCAAATGAACACAGTAACTTCACACGGGTCTGGTCAGATTGCAGGCATTTGTCAAGCAAGCCAGAACTCACATTCCTCATTCCATGAGTGATCCGGACCCCCAAATCTGCTTTGATAGACCAGAACCAAGCAAGAGACTCATTTCGCTGACCTTGGGCATTAGGATCGCCGACGGCCATGCTGACCTTGAGCTGCTCCCGAAGCAGGGGTTTATATTTTTGTAGCTGGTCTTGGCCCAGCTCAAGTTTTATCATTTGCTTCCTGGTCTTGGTATATATGCTGGCATGGAGGGACACCGCCTGCTGCACTGACATCACCTGGGACCAAGCTTGGATTTTCAATGCTTGAGATTTGGCTTGCCTAACTGTTGTTCGGAAGAGTATTGCCTTGTTGCACAAGTGAATTTTGAGGTTGTGAAGGGCATCATTGACCTGTCCTTCACGAAGCGACAACTCCAGCAGAATCAGATCCTCTGCCATACAATGTTTGCATCGATCTACTCTGAGGTTTGATGGCAATGGGATGACAGTGAGCTCGGGGGAGTTTGTCCATGTATCAGATGTCCTGATGAAATCCTCCGGGTCATCATCAAGATCATCAAGAATGTCTACATTCAAATCGTCAGGATTGTCATCTGCATCAAATCCCTCTCCCAGATGCGTCACAGCAATCCGAGTGAATGCATCTATCTGGCCTTGTAGACGATCACGTTGCCGGGTGATGTCTAATCTCTGAGTCTCGGTAGTTCTTTTTCCTATTCTTCGGACCTCAATGAGCAATGCAATTTGAGCCTCTTCAATTGCCAGGCCCATTGATATCCATGTTGCCACAGATCTGTGAGAAGGTGCTGCATGACAGGCATTACCCTCCTGCAGCAGTCTAAGCTCTATCTCCTTTTTGCTCGATGCTGGGTTCAAAATGAATTCAGACTTCGATTGAGACAGAGTGATCTCACCCTTCTTGATATTAATCTCATATATATCCATTGCAGCTGGATCTTGTATTCTGTTGGACTGAGCGATCCTCTCACTTGCTAACCAGCCTGTCTTTAAGTTGGCTGGTGCGGCTTCGTCAAGTCTGTCGAAAGCCTTTCCACTTTTGGCGATGCCATTCTTCGCCTGCTTGTATTTCTGGCAAAGGGTCCTCTTCATGCAGATCATCTTGCAAAAGTTGGAATTGTTCATCTGGAAATCAAGACATTCCCCAAGCAGCAGGAGAAATCAGGTTGAGACGTTCCCATAGGGTCTCCATGATCTCTCCATCAATGCAACCAATGCCTTCAATGAAATTCGACGCATATCTGACATAGCAGCTATCCTGATGTCCATGGATATGCCACAGCCCGATTCCGGGAATGATGGTCAATTCCGGAATCATTGTCAGAAATTGGCCTCGATCCACCTGAACATGCAAGTGCTTGTTGTATTGACAGTTGATGTCATAGAAGGTGACAGCCCTTGTAATCCCATCCATGTTGTGTTGGGCAGCCTCACAAAGTGTGTAGTCCATGTTCATTTGTCTGCAAACGATGCATGGTCAACTCGGGAATGTTGAATGGCATGTCCAGCTTGCCTTTCACCTTTCTGAAAATCTACCATCGAGTGAGGGACAAAGCAACCATGTCGGGGACAGGCTACTGCCCCAATACCGGTGGACTCCAGCTTGTGCTGAGCTGCATTTGCTTGATTGACAGCCCGATGATTGTTGCAGCTCAATTTTTCCAGTGTCAGCAGCCTCTTCAAGATGCTTTTGATACCTTTCCTTTCCCACCATAAACCCCAACCCATCAAAGAGCCATACTTCATCATATGGCTTGATGGGATGCAGGTGTTCAGCTTTGAAATTTCCGTCCATCACAAATGACCGGGTGTATTTCCAGCTTGGAGTTTTTAATATTGCCGACATAGATTTGGTAATGAAAGAGACTCACTCATCAAGTGATTCATCCCCTGACAAGGATATGTTAATCCCGGGCTGAGGACATGCCAGGCAGAATAATGCGAGATCTCCGGCATTCGGGTTGTCGGAACTACAGTGGCTCAAAAAAGTGTCCGAATGTTTATGCATTTTCAAGTAATTGAACAATAGCAAGGCAGAACCAAACAATGACCAAAGGGTATAGGGACATGTCTGAAAGCCCTATATCATGGCTCAAGTCTGAGATATATAGCGTGTGAATCCGACCATATATGGGCAAGCTATGGTAATTCTAAATATATGACTCATTTGGACACTTTTTTGACTTTTTATTGAAATTACAAAATCAGACCATTCATACATGATACTCTTAATTAAAGCCATGTCATAATAATAATATGGTCTGATTGCAATATTATTTGAATATATAAACCCATATAAGATCATGAAATTCAACATAATCATCATGAAGCCCATCTCCTCTGCTCACAAGGATAATATCCTTGTTCTCTGTACCTCTGGTTTATCTACTAGGCAAATTGCCTCAAAAACTGGTCTTGGAAAGTCTACTATTACTACAGTCATAAAGCAGCACATGCCAGAGAAGGAATATCATCAAATGGGATGTCCTCCCAAGCTTACTCCACAGAACAAAAGAGCTATTGTTCACCAAATTCTATCTGGCAAGGCTTCAAATGCTACCCAAGCTACCAAGTTCATCAATTCCATCATCACCACTCCTGTCTCCACCCAAACTGTCAGAAACACCCTCAGGGCAGCCAATCTTAAGGCTGTAACTAAGAAGAAAAGACCTCCTCTCTGTAGCTCATAGGAAGAGAAGACTGGCCTTTGCTTTAAAGCACCAACATTGGAGTGTGGAAGACTGGAAGAAGGTTATTTGGTCAGATGAAATAAAAATCAATAGAATGGGGTCATATGGCCAGGAATATGTGTGGAAAAAGGCAGGAGAACCATTAGGAGAAAGAGAAGTCAAGGGTCCACTGAAGTTTGGAGGAGGAAGTATGATGGTATGGGGTTGTATGGGGTGGAATGGTGTGGAGATTCTTTGTGAAGTGGAAGGATGGATGAATGCAGAGCAGTACATCTCCATTCTAGAGGAGTGTCTACTCAAAAGCATGCAGAAGTCAGGAATTGATGAAGAAGACATTATCTTTCAACAAGATAATGACCCCAAGTACACCTCAAAACTGGCTACAACATGGTTTAAAGACCATAATATCAATGTTCTATCATGGCCAGCACAGTCTCCAGACCTCAATCTCATTAAACATCTCTGTGAATTACTCAAAAGACTACTTGCTGCCTATCAAGATCTTCCACAGGGGCTATTTAAACTATGGGAGAGAGTTGCAGCAGAGTGGACAAAGGTTGCTGAAGAGGAGTATCAAAAATTGATAGAAAGTATGCTTAGAAGGATTGCAGCAGTTATTAACGCCAAGGGGGGTAGCACCAAGTACTAGAATCATAGAATAGTCTTGGTTAAATACAAAGTCAAAAAAGTGTGCGAATGAGTCATGTATTTAGAATTACCATAGCTTGCCCATATATGGTCGGTTTCCCACGCTATATATCTCAGACTTGAGCCATGATATAGGGCTTTCAGACATGTCCCTATACCCTTTGGTCATTGTTTGGTTCTGCCTTGCTATTGTTCAATTACTTGAAAATGCATAAACATCCGGACACTTTTTTGAGCCACTGTATGCCCGAAGCCATGCCATTTCATAGACTTTAACTGCCTCCACTGTCGAGCGACTCTCATAAGCTCTCTGTATCGGTCCTTGCAATGTGCTTTGTCAATATAATGTGCTTCAGATGATATAGATATGGTATTACCGGAACAAGGTGTGGAAACACGCTCGAGGTCATTCGCCGAAGCTTGCTGTAATAGTTCATCGCTGAGGTGCCACATTCGAGGTTGTCCAACAGAAAATCATCTAGCACTCTGAAGGTGAACACGGTCTTTGGCTTGTTAAATGATGCAGGGAAAAAGCCATGTCGAAACATTTGAATGTCTGGACTCATGGCATCGGGACAATCACAGCATCAAACCTCAAGGCGATGGACTCCTGACTTGTCAACGATGACCATTGTATTTTCCTTGGGCTGGAACTCAGGTCCTGATACAGAAGGTAGATCTTCAGGTTCAAAGTGGTCTTCTTGTTCATCTTTGTCAAACAAATCCCACCTATCCATGACTACTGGACATGGCTTGCCATCATGACTGAGGTATATGACGAGTCCAACATGAGCCAGACAACTTTGCTCGAAGAATTGACCATTCCATTGACTGATCCAGTGGAATGGATTGCAATGATGTTGACTCCAGCAACAGCCTGTGCAATAGAGAGGCTCCCCAAGACAATATTGACATTTGAAGACCCCATCCTGATCACAGATGACGCATCTCCTATCTTCTGGTGGAGCTTCTCGATCCAGGAGGTGATGGAGATATTATTCCTGCCTTGGCAGCCATTGCCTGAGGTAGTCATTCTGACTCTGCATTTTTTAATACTTAGCTATTGTTCGAATGACATTCCAACATTTTACATGAACTTGCCATTGTTTTTGGGAGTTGCAAGGGCTCAAATGACCCTTGGTCTTGCTCGTAAGTATCTTCAGGAAAGTCTTCCCAAGGAGGTGGGGCCTGAACAGGTTCAAGTGTCAGTGATTCAGGGGGAGAGTTAGGCATGGACCTGTAGGCATGTCATCTCATGCTGGCAAGTGGGACCTTGACCCATGTCTTCCTACCTTTGCTGCCCCTTGCTTCTACCCTGTGGGATTTCTGCAATGGGGTGCAATGACCTATCTTCATTTTATTTTTCAATGTCGCAAGGAAAGCATTAGCTCAGGAAGGTCAAACGAATTGTTATTCCATCATCGTATTATGCAGTTTGGTTGGCTCATTACCAATTCATTTCCATGAATGGCGTTGTGTCTGTTATAGGTAGATTAACCAACTGTTAGGTGTTGATCGAAGTTGAACTCGCTACCATTATTACTTCCACTTTGCTTATCCTCAGCCCATTCTGCAATCTTATTCACCATGGCAAGATCAGGTCATTCCACTCAGTTGACTTCTAGAAGACACAGAACGCATCAACCACAGTCACAGAAGCTCATGGAAAACGAAATTTCAGAGCTGAAGAACTACCTTCCTGAGTGGACTTCTGCAAAAAGGAGTGAGAAATGGGGAGTTTTCAATGCCATAGCTCAAGCGGCCAGGTTATTTGCTCCTAAGGTCGACCAAGGACAATGGAAAAAGAGGAAGCAGGTGATACATCCTTGTTGTGTTGAAAAACTCGATTTTTCATGTCTGATTCTTCCTCTGCCTCTTAGCTGTATAAGACTTGGTTGTTCAACAACAAGAAAAAGAAGGAAAGGAAGGACATGATAAAGTATGGGGGGAAATAGACGCCTATGCAGGTGATCTATCAGCAGAACAGAGAGGAAGTGCTAAAGAGGATCAAGGACAAGTTCGGGGCAAAGCCAGGAGGTCAAGACATGTTCAAGCATTATCAAGCTGCAGTGAAGAAGGTCATGGCCGAATTGTCCGAGGATGAGTTGGAGAAGGCGAAAGAAACTGCCAAAGAATGGTCCAACAACTTTCCTCCTCCTGAGACACAGGCGCAAGTCGCCCGTGAGAAGGGACCTGTATATATGGAGCACTTTTCAAACGAGATGTGGAGACAATGCGGGATGAGAGTGTTTGTGTTGTTGGCTTGGAAGAATGAACGCAGAGAGGTGCTGTTCGGGATGTCAATGAATTTCATCTGTCATTGCAGATATTTGGTCTCAACTTATTTCACATAGGCATGATGACAACGAGGCATTAGGGGATGGGGACAGCTTCAGGAAGACAAAGGACTGGGAGGACATAGAGCCAGTTTGGCAGGAGTACATGCAGGAACAGTTCGGTGAGTGTTCCCACTGTGGAGATGAGAATGATTTCATTGATCGTCGGGATCATAGGTGGTGAGGCATGGGATGGAGGGCGACAGGTGAAGGGAGGGTGAAAAAGAATGAAGAAACCGGTGTTTGATCTGGAAATGGACGGGAATGGGATGCCGTTGCTTCTGGACATCACGGAAACAAAACTGAAGGAGAAGAAGGCCATAGTGAGGGCTTTTCTTACAAAGCACTATCATGAGTCTGGCTTCTCAACTTCCTAAGAGAATCTGTTTAATGGAGTGCCATCGTACAAAGTCAGGATGACTTTGTGGCCAGACAGTATCTTCCAGAGGATGTAAACTTGAAGGAGCCTTCCAAGTTGCAAAATTGGGATACCACCGCCTTGCTCAATTTCTGGTATGCTCGTCAGAAGATGGGTGAAGGTCCAATGTTCCTGTTCAAGGCATGAGGAACAAAGAAGGTGACATGGTAGATTCTGTTGTATCCGAGAAATCACCTCCTCATCTCAAGCGTAAGAGGGTGATGATCCAGAGACCTCAGGATTCATCAACCGAATCTGAGAGTGAGGCTGAGGGCCCTGGTGATGTTGAACATGAAGTTCCACTACCGGCCCCAAAGAGCTTCCGGGGGAAGAAAGATGCGATTGAGGCACCAGCGAGAACAACTCAGAGTAAGTCAGTGCAACAACCATCTGACAGAGTTACTAGAGCAAGGGGCAAAAAGTAACATACATGTACCATTGTCTCATATGTCCCTATCAATGTACATTACATAGATGGATGGGCCGATGAAACTGTCGATTATATAAACGGATGGGCCAATCGACCAGTAGATTGTATAGACAGATGGGCCGATGGGACTGTAAATTGAATAGACGGATGGGCTGATGGGACTGTGGATTGTATAGACGGATGGGCCGATAGGATTGTACATTAAATGGACGGATGGGCCGATCAACCTGTAGATTGTATAGACGGATGGGCCGATGGGACTGTACATTACATGAACGGATGGGCCAATCAACCTGTAGATTGTATAGACGGAGGGGCTGATACAACTATCGATTTTATAGATGGATGACCTAGGAAGACAGATATTAACTCGGTGATACTGGACATTGGAATATGTTACTCAGTGCTCGGTACTCAGGCCTGAGTGGTTGGTTATGGGTGGTCGGGACCCAGGACTGACTCGGCGTGTGGTCCTCGGTGCTCGGTGCTTGGTGCTCGACACTCGATGCTTACGACCTGATCGAAAGTATTCAATGCTCAACATTCGGTCAGGGCTCAATCGCTTTCTCAGAGGTATGGAATTTATGAATATACTAATGACCCTCCCTGGCCGATGTTTCACCAAATGGAATCTTTACCGAATCCATCATGGCCCATCCACATGAAGGAACACCTGCATAAATATGGACTGAATCCCTCATATACCATGCCCAAGCAATCTGATCCCCTGCTACTTCATGGACCCCATGCCTGACTATCCTTCCTAAAAATGCTATCATGACCCCAGGATCATACATGAACTCCAGCTGAAGGCTGGGCATGCTCATGTGAGCGTTAGAATAATTCCCCACAGTTGTGAGAATGTCAAACCACTCAGGAGATGATAAGTGGTCTCTATGATATGGGGTTTGCCGATTAGAAATGACAGAGAGGGTATTGAAGACAGAAGCCCAGAGCTTGAGAGTCTCTAACATGTTCGGAAGGTTCTTGGTTTCAGCCGACTCACCAAGGCTTGAAAAGGCACGCATGCCTGCCCAGTACTGTCGAGGATGCATGACCCTGAGTGCTGCTGAGGCTATAGCTGCCGGCCTCACAATAGCTTTGAGGATATCCTCAGAAAGTGGACCCTTCAATGAAGCAGATACCTCCGGATCTGAGACAGTCTACAGAAGTGGTGAGATTAACTACCGAGGAACATCGGCATGTCATGGCATCTAACCTCATGCCCCTGCTGAAACCACGCCGGGGATATATTGATGCATCCGGCAGCAATGTCACCGTTCCCGGAGCCTTGACCGAACCACTCTTTATTAGTCTGCCAACTGCCGCCAAATTTTACACTTTTTTCGAGTGTGGGAGTCAGCAATTGTAAGGCCTTCCAAATTTCTTCCTGTAGTATATTCAGTATTCAGGATCCATTGGGTGATGAAGAATCTGAAATACCTGGGTGGTGTCCGTGAGTGCACCAGGGAGATACCACACGATGATCGCACCAGTCACATCGAGAACTGTGGCAGGCATGTCGACAAACTTGGTACCCTCATGGCCAGGAGGACACCTGTCAAGCAGCTTCTTCTCTCTCTCTTCATTATGGCCAGTGTCCTTCGGGGATATCGATTTGCTGTATCTTGCAATATCGATCTGCGTCTGAACTGTAATTGAGGAATCTGAATGATCAAATGGAAGATCCGGATCAGCAATCCGACTCACTGGGATTGTGATATGCTTTGATGAGGCGATCAACCAATCAATCACAAGCCATCACCAGATCGGTGTCTAGGTGAGGAGAAGGTATGACCGGATCCCCTCCCATCTTGTCCACATTGAATTTCTGTTTGGTATATTCACTCGCCTCATGGGCGACGGTCAGGGCCCAAGAGATCCAGAAGGATATTTCAATCTCGGAGTCTGGGGACACATTCATGATGAAGGGATGTATTTGATGGTGGGAAATGCGATGGCGAGTATAAGATGATGCCTACGATTCGGCTTTAAGGGGGATATCAGATCCGGGGTGGCGGAGATTGCGAGGATCAGATAGGGCCACATGATGCATGATCTTGGTAGAGAGCACCAATGACCGAGTACCAAACATCGAGTATCAAAGATGCACCGAGTACTGGTGATTGAACCGAGGGCCAAATACCAAATATCAGGTATCCCAGGTAGGATCACAGAGTCGATGCTCCATACCGAGGACGGATCTCCAGGATCGTGGACCAAATGCCGCGCAAGGACCAATTACCGGAGAGAGTTCACCGAGTCTTCAGTACCAAGTACTGACGACGGAGCTCTGAGGACCGAGTCCTCAGACCCGAGTCTACAGTAACGAGCACCGGGCACTGAGCACCAACCGCCAAGCACCGAGTGTCGAGCACTTGGAAATTCATTCTTCAGGCATTCAGTCGCAGTCATCAATACCAAGGATTGGGCGCCAGGACCCAGGACCCGGGTGTCCTCGTTACTTGGTACTCAGTAAAGACCAAGGACCAAGGACCGAGCAATCAGACCCAACGGTGCACTGGTGAGTGCCGAGCGCTGAGCACCAACTGCCAAGCACCGAGTGTTGAGCACTCGGAAGGTCATTCTGGAGGCATTCAGTGCCAGTCTTCACTACCGAGGAGCAGGACCCGGGAGACCTCTGTACTCGGTACTCGGTAAAGATGGAGCACCAAGCAATCAGACCCGACGGTGCACTGACGAGTGCTGAGCGCTGAGTCCTAACTGCCAAGCACCAAGTGTCGAGCACTCAGAAATTCATTCTGGAGGCATTCAATGCCAGTCATCAGTACCAAGGAGCAGGACCCGGGACACGGAGTCTTCGGCCCTCGGTACTTGGTAAAAAGTGCTGATAGGTCGGTCCTTGGTGCTCACTCTGTATGTGGGACTCGGTGATTCTGTACATTTGAATATGTCTATGGTATATACATGCTGGCGTGCTGAAGCATAACAGCCTTCCTATGGATCCCAATCATTCCTGCAATCCATTGCTGCACACCCCCCTGGCTCGCTGCAATTGGGTGAGGATACCAGTGTACATATGTATCTCACCCATCTTATCTCTGATGCCCTCCCGCTGTTCTTCGATCAATGTCACCAATCGTTCTCAAATCCACCGAAGTCCCATAAGAGATGGGATGGAGGTTTGATCCACCATCTCTGGAAGAATCAGACCATCCTCCTCAACACCGCCCTGGATGTTTCAATTCATCAACTGTAATTAAAATGGTGCTCGGTGCTTACCAGCCAGTGCTCATAGTGGAATCCACAACACTCCATGACCCGATTCCATTGCCAAGGTTCGTTTGGAATGGTGGTGTGCCCCATCCACCACGGAGTATCATAGTCTGGAATGATGTGGGAGGGATTGCCGGGAGCTGCGCGATCTTGAAGCCGACCCAGATGAGCTGCAAAGACATGGTCCGGAACCTCGGTCCAGCTTTGCTGCGGGATCAAGAGCAGCAGATGAGTGATGGGGATTGGCATGACCGAAATGATGTTGTGTGCAGCTGAGTACTGCAGGAGCGGTGTCACAAAGGTCTGTCGGTGATGTCAGAATTGACTACAACATAGACATCATTCACTGCTCACCAAGATCTCCCATTGAAGCCAAGTTTTGAAATGGGTGATTCGTGCGCACGGCAAATCCATCTCAGCTGCCTCTTTCTGATATTGAGCAACACATGCTCGGATACGTGATGCAGCCATTGTCAATGTAGCTGCGATATCTGCGGTGCTGAGAGTGATTGGCTGATAGGGAAGATCTCTATCTTGGCTGGCAGAAGTCGATGTACCACTTGGATGTGAGTCAGACATGTCTGATGGAAGAGTAGACACAATGGAAATAAGAATAACAGTAGTTCAGGGCATCAAAGTATGAGTGGCAATAACAATGACAGTGGTTCAGGGTGTAGATATACGGGCAGCTGATGGATGGATGACATTTTCAAACTCCGCCATCATTCCCGTGACACAACCGAACCCTGGGCCACACAATGATTCACATTACTAGGATGTATGCTAGAAATTTGCAGTGGTTAATATTCACTCATCTTCGGGATATATTGGCATCATCGTAAGATCCTGAAAAGCAGCCTGCACATCCTGTGCAAGCAATGAGTACATTCGGGATTGTCTTGCCACGTAGGAGGCATGACCCTGAAGCTGGCTGTCCGATGACTCCCTCATATGTGCATCCAATTGGGCTGCTTTGCATGAGAAGAAGTTGCATGTCCAGTCCATCTCCAGTTCCACCACCGTAAGTTCTTCAATCCATTGATCCCTCAGAGCCTTCGCCCGAAGCCAATGAACTCAGTAAACTTCACACCAGTTCGGTCAGATCATCCCCGCATTTTGAAAGTATGCCCGAACTTACATTTGTCATTCCACGACTCACTTGGCCCCGATAAATTGATGTCGAGAGACAAGAACCAGGCAAGGGACTCGTTCCGCTGACCTCAGGCATTTGGATCACTGACTGCAGTGCTGATCTTGAGCTGTTCTTGGAGCAGAGGTTTGGTATTTCTGAAGCTGGTGCTGCCCCAGACCAAGTTTCATCATTTGCTTCCTTGTCCTGTTGTATATACTGGCATTCAGAGACACAGCCTGCTGAACCGACATCACCTGGGACCATGCCCGAGTCTTCAAAGCTTGCGACTTCGCCTGCCTAATGGTGGTTCGGAAAAGGACTGCCTTGTTGCACAAGTGTATTCGGAGATTGTGAAGGGCATCATTGGCCTGTCCTTCATGAAGCGACATCTCCAGCGGAATCAGATCCTCTGCTAAGCAGTGTTGGAGTCGGTCCAGCCCAACATTGGATGGCAATGGGATGACAGTGAGCTCGGGTGTGTTTCGGTAGGTATTGAGAGTCTCGGTGAACTCATCTGGGCCATTGTCAAGATCATCGAGAATTGCACAACTCAAGTCCTCCGGATCTTCATCACTATTGAATCCATCTCCAGAATGCAGGAGAGCGGACTGAGTAAATCCATCGATCTGTCCCTGCACCCAATCGCGTTGACGGGCGATGTTTAATCTCTGGGTCTCGGTAGGTCTTTGTCCGAGTCTCTGGACCTCGATGAGCAATGCGATCTGAGCTTCTTCGATCGCCAATCCCATTGATATCCATGTTGCGACTGATCGGCGGGAAGGTGATGCATGACAAGCATCATTCTCCTCCAGTAATCTCAGCTCAATCTCCTTCTTGCTTGGTGCTGCAGGCGCCATAAGGTCAAACACTTTGATGTCCATGGAATGATCTCACCCTTCCAGATATTGATCTCATATATGTCCATTACAGCGGGATCATGTATTCTGCTCGACTGCGCGACCCTTTCACTCGCCAACCACACAGTCTTTGAACTTTCTGGTGCCCCCTCATCGAGTCTATCAAATGCCTTCCCACTTTCGGCGATGCCATGCTTTGCCCCTTTGAATTTCCAGCAAAGCATCCTTTTCATGCAAATCATCTTGCAAAAATTGGAATCATTCATCTGAAAATCTAGACATTCTTTTCTATGTGGCGACGACATTCCCTGAGTGGAAGGAGATATGAGGTTGAGGGAGGCCCACAGGGTCTCCATGATCTCTCCATTGATGCGACCTATGCCTTCGATGAAGTTCGACGCATATCTCACATAGCAGCTGTCCTGATGTCCATGGATATGCCAAAGCCTGATTCCAGGAACTATGGTCAGCTCCGGAACCATCATCAAGAATGGACCTCAATCGACCCGAGTGCGAAGATACTTGTTGTATTGACAGTTGATGTCATAGAAGGTGACAGCCCTGGTGATGCCTTTCATGTTGTATGATGCAGCCTCGCATAGGGCATAATCCATGTTCATCTGTCTGAAATCAATTCGTGGTTACTTCCAGGCCATGGAATGGTGATTTTCACTGACCTCTCGCCTTTCTGAAAATCTACAATCGAGTGTGGAACAAAACAGCCGTGTCGGGCGCAGGCCACCCCCCCGATCCCGGTGGACTCCAGCTTGTGCCGAGCCGCATTTGCTTGATTGACAGCTCAATGATTGTTGCAGCTTGACCTTTCCAAAGAATCGGTAGCTACTGCAAGATGCCTCTGGTACCTGTCCTTTCCAACCATAAATCCAAATCCATCGGACAGCCATACTTCATCATCCGGGTTGATAGGATGCAGGTGTTCCACTTTGAAGTTCCCATCCATTACGAACGACCTGGTGTATTTCCAGCTTGAAGTTGTTAATATCCTCATCCTTGATTGCATATTCACGAAGACTCACTCATCAAGTGATTCTTCTGTCGTCAGAGATAGATTAATGCCAGGCTGAGGGCATGCCGGGCAGAACAATGCTAGGTCCCCTGGCTCGCAGTGGTTGGAATGATGGCCAAAGCCATGCCACTTCATGTTCTTCAAGTGTCGCCACTGCTGGGAGACCCTCATGAGCTCTCGGTATTGATCCTGCCCACGTCCCCTGTGAGTATAAACATCCTTAGAAGGTATAGACTGTCCCCTACCGGCATGAGGTGTGGAAATGTGCTCAAGGTCATTCGCCGAAGCTTGTTGTAATAATTCATTGCCAAGGTGCCACATTCAAGGTTGTCCAGCAGAAAATCATCGAGAATGCTGAATGTGAACAAGGTCTTCGGCCTGTTGAAAGATGCAGCGAACAAGCTGTGTCGAAACATTTGAATGTCCAGACTCATTGCATCGGGACAGCCGCAGCATCGCACCTCGAGCTGGTGGACTCTGGACCTGTTGACAATGACCATGGTATTGTCCTTCGGCTGGAACTCAGGGCCCGAGACAGATGGTAAATCTTCTGGTTCGATGTGATCATCGGATTCATCTTCTTGAAACAAATCCCACTTATCCATGAGAACCGGACATTGCTTTCCCTCATGACTGATGTGTATCACGAGTCCGACATGAGCGAGACAACTTTGCTCGAAGAACTGACCATTCCACTGACTGATCCAGTGGAAGGGATTGCATCGATGTCGACTCCTGCAGCAGCCCGTGCAATACAGAGGCTCCCCAAGACAATCTTGACATTTGTATACCCCATCCTGATCACAGATGGAGCACCTCCTATTTGCTGGGGGAGCTTCTTGATCGAGGAGGTGATGGAGATATGATTCCTGCTTTGGCAGCCATTGCCTAAGGTAATCGTTCTGACTCTGCATTGAATTAATTCAGCCACATTTCGATTGACTGTGCAACATCTTCAATGAACTTGCCATGGTTTTCGGAAGGTGCAAGGGCTCAAATGATCCTTCGTTGAGCTCATACACATCATTGGCGATGTCTTCCCACAAAGGCGGAGCCTGAGCATGATCGAGTATTGGTGATTCCGGGGGGGGGATGGAGGCATGCACCTGCTGGCATGTTTCATCACGCTAGCCAGTGGGACCTTGACCCATCTCTTCCTACCTTTCCTGCCCCTTGCTTCCACCCTGTATGATTTCTGCACAGGGGTCGATGGAGTGATCTTCATCTTACTTCTGATGTTGTTGGCCGAGGTTTCGCTGAGGGAGGTCAAACAATTTGTGATTCCATTATGGGGTCATCCAGTCTTGTTGTAGGCTTATTACGAATTCATTTGGATGCAAGGCAGTGCATCCGAAATTCATTGATGAACCAAGATGTAAGGTTTGCTCAGATTTGAACTCAGGACAATTATTTCTTCAATGTTGCCTCCCATATGTGCATCCTGCACTCCATTTTACCATGGCTAGATTGGGGGATTCCATTCACTTCTCAGACAGAAGACACGGACAATGTTTACAACCGAGACAAAAGCTCACGGAACAAGAGATCTTGGAACTCAAAAACTACCTTCCTGAGTGGACTGCCACAAAATGGCACGAGAAACCGGGAATATTCACAGCCATAGCTCGAGCAGCAAGATTGTTTGCTCCAAAGCTTGACCATGGACAATTAAAAAAGGGGAAGCAGGTGATGCATCCATGCAGGTTAAAACCTTAATGTTTTCAACACTGATTGTTTGTTGTTCGCTCAGATCTATAAAACCTGGTTGTTCAACAACAAGAAAAAGAAGGAAATGAAGGACATGATAAAGTATGGGAGGAAATGGACCCCTAGGATGGTGGTCTATCAGCAGAACAGAGATGATGTGCTCAAGAGGATCGAGGCGGAATACAGGGCGAAGCCAGGAGCTCCGGATATGTTCAAGTATTACCAGGCAACCGTCTGTAAGGTGATGGAAGAATTGTCTGATGAAGAGTTGGAGAAGGTGAAAGAAACAGCCGACAAATGGTCCAACAACATTCCTCCTCCCGAGATTCAAGCACAAGTCGCCGGTAAGAAGGGACCCGCATACATGGAGCACTTCTCCAATGAGATGTGGAGACAATGCAGGATGAGAGTGTTTGTATTGTCTGCCTGGAAGAATGAGCAGGGCCAAGTGCTATTCGGAACGTGAGTGCATTGCAAATGTTATCCTAGACCTGATATCTCAACAGATTTCCTGTAGGCACGATGATAATGAGGCATTGGGAGACAGGGACAGCTTCATGAAGACAAAGGACTGGGAGGATATCGAACCAATTTGGCAGGAGTATGCACAAGCACAGTTCAGTGAGTGTTACAGCTATTGGGATGCGGAGGGTGACATTGATGGTTCCTGTGATAGGTGCCGAGGCAAGGGATGGCGAACGACAGGAGAAGGAACATCGAAAAAGACCTAGGAAACCGGCCTTCGAACTGGACATGAATGGGGAAGGCATCCCTTCACTTCCGGACACCGTGCAAACAAAGCTCGAGGAGAAGAAGGCAATAGTGAGGGCGTTTCTTACAACACACCATCGTGAGTTTGCAGTGGCAACATCCTGCGAGAATCGGTTGACCGGATGTGACCAGGACTCTGTTCTGGCATTGACAAGGCCGTCGTCCCTTGGAGCGCCATTGTAGAATGTGAGGATGCCGTTGTATCACTGATGTATCTTCTGAGCGGGGTGCATTTGAAGGACCCTTCAAAGTTGCAAAACTCTGATGCAACAGCCTTGCTGAACTTCTGGTATGCTCGCCAGGAGAATGGTGATGATCCGATCTTCCTGTTCAAAGCATGGAAGAACAAAGTTGGCAACATGATGAAACCAGTCTCGACCGGGGGATCAGACGAGTCATCGTCCGACGAGTCTCATGCTTGCATCCCTCACTGGGGCATCATGATCAGGAGGCCACAGGATTCATCAACGGAATCCGAGATCGATGGTCGGCTGCACCATGCCCTTGCTGCCAATGCCCACCGGCTCTCCGAAAACAACCGAGTGTCATCGGAGGATGATAGTCCGGGGGATGATGACTCTGGCACGGATGAGGACAGTGCTAGAACCGTCCATAAGGGGGTTCGGGTAGCGCCAGGACCGCTATCAGCCTGGAACATCAGGCAAGGAGTGCAACACCCGCTTCCAAAGCCTCACCCGGTGAGGCCGGCAAGGCCAGTGCAACAGGCTGCTCGTCCACTGCTGGGGTCACAGATGGGTGATCTCCTCACGGGGTTGACTCGTGCAAACCGAGGAGTCAACCGTCAAAACGAAGCTACAACTGAGGAGGAGACACATGTGTCCCCGGTGCCAAAGGGAATCCAGCGACAGAAAAAGGTGATTGTGGGACCTCCGAGCAGAACTCAAAGTAAGACCATGGAAAAGTCATTAGATATTCCTAGGAGAGTCACTAGAGCGAGGGCAGGGAAGTAACTGCATCATACCACATCATGTCAGTGTAGTCAGCCGAATCCTCCGAGAGTACTGAGTATCAAGGACAATGACCATGTAGTCTGTGCAATACACAGATCATCAACCATCAATGCAGATGACCGAGTACTGATGAATGATTGCTGACGACTTAGAACCGCCGATCGAATACCAGTGGCCTATTACTGACCACTGACTGCCGAAGACCGAACACCAAATATCAACTGCTGAAGACTATGTATTGATGATTGACTGCCAAGGACAAAGGACTTCCGACCAAATACCAATGGCTGATTACCGATTACCGACGACCGACGGCCGATTGCCGACGACCAACAATCGACTGCCGATGTCTGGTCATCAGCAGTCGATAGTCGGTCGCTGGCAATCGATAGTCGGTCGTCGGCAATTGGCCGTCGGTACTTGGCCGTCGGCACTCGGTCGTTGGCAATTGGCCATTGGTATTCGGTCAGAGGTCCTTGGCCCTCAGCAGTCGATCTGCATAGGGCCAAACACCAAATTGCTGACGACCAACGATCGACTGCCGAAGCCCAATGATCGACTGCCGACGACTGGATGCTGACGATCAGCTGTCGAGTGCAAAGGGCCAAATGCCAAATGCCTTGCTGGTAGGTGGACATTGGTCGGCAGTCGGCAATCGGCATACAGGACTTCATCATCAACAGTTGTTTTTGTGATCGTTAGGGCTTGGGCATCGGTACTCGGTAACCGATGCTCGACGATCACTCTTCAATGCAGAGAATGGAGATCTCAGTTGTCGGTCGAAGTATTTTTAGTCAATTGTGCCCGGTTGCAAAGTCAAAGGGAATCTCCTATTCCATGTGTCTGGTGGAAGTCACATATGATGATTGTATACTAATATGAGGATTATGGTCATGTGCTATCTACATCTTCGGGTATCCTACTTTGACCCTGGTGAATTTGGGTCTCGAACCGTTGAATCAGTGAATCTACTACTTTGAGCATTTTGATGCTCGCCTGCTCGGCCCTCTGCATCCTTCGAAGCTCCCAATTGGCCCGTGCCAGCTTGTTGGATGTCTCCGCCCAAGCAGTTCGAAATGGTCACTCTGCCTCCAGGAGCTGCGGTATGGACGGGTCAGGAAGGTTTCTGTGAGTAGTTGTGAAGTTGGCCAGTCGGGCTTCAAGATTCTGCACTACGATAGCAATGAGAACGACATGCTGACATAGACCTGCAATTAATACTTACATCCGACATCATGATATGACCCAAAAGGCCGGAACTCCTGAACCATAGCTTGGAGCTCTTCGTTGTTGAGTGCTGGAGGTGCCGGAAGGCAGTCGGCATTGGGTGGATTCACTGATGGAGTGAATCAGGTAAGGAATTCCTAGTGTCACGAAGCACTTACAATATTCCATGGGTTCATCGGACATCTCTTCTGGCCCAAGGTACAGTGCCAGACTGATGGCTTGGCCCGGGGGATCACTACTCACATGGTGGGACAGCTCGGGCGCACCAATCCTACCATCAAAGTCGTCTTCCAGGCTGAGATATAGCTCCCGACTGATGTGCGGGGGCATGGATTCGTACTCCACCTCATCGTCCGGCCCAAGATACAAGTCATCTGATTGCATGTGTTAACAAATGGAAGCATGTAGGAAGACATCTTACCGAACATCGGCCGTTCCTCTCCCATCCACGGATCTGTCAAGCTTGTCGACGATTGTGCTTGACCACCATTGTCGATGTCCATTTCGATGATGTCAGTCACCGGTGGTTCCGTGAATTGCACTGTGGGGTGAGAGTGCATTGGGCTTGATGGTCTAACTGATCCACAGATCTCACAATTTGATCCTTGAAATGAGTGGATTATTTGCAAACTCCTGAAATGTGAACATTGTGCAAATAATCCACAACAATGAAATATTTATTGACCAAAGTTCAATTGACTTGTGTCTTTGTAAACTGCTTCCTTGCCAGCTGTCACTAAATTTCATAACTTTTATTATTGATACATTCATCCTTGATGTCCAACCAAGCCGACAAGTCCATGGCCAATCTCAAGGAGATCACTGGCCAACTTCTCGCGATCGTCCGCACTGCCCGACAAATTCCCCCTGGTCCAAGTCACTTCGCTCTGGCGACCCAGGCAAGTGAATTAGTGGTGCGTATATGATATCAAACACATATTATACATGATTGCTCATCTTCTATCAGGCAAGGGCAGTCCGGGATCATGGCAACTCAATATGCCTTCCCGGTCTTGTCTTGTTTTGTTCACGGGAGTTCATCCGGACTCGCAACTGTTCTCCGCAGGAGGCCCCGAACTGGCGGAGCATCGGCCATGACAACCCTCAACTCATGCGGCACAGCTGGCGCAGCAAGGCCCTCACCTGGCAAGCCTTGGGCGACCACTCATTCGATCTTGCACACGAGGTCGATGGTGGTGACACCAACAATGCTCCCGGTCCCTCAACAAGCGTGGATGGTGATGCTTTGGAGAAGGGGAAAGGGAAGGTGAGGGAAGTGGAGCCGGAGAAGGAGAAGGAGAGTGAAAAGCCGAAGGATGAGCAGGAGAAGCCACACAGGAAGCGGCCTTTTTCCTGAATGTCGAAGCCGGTCCCAAAGTTGGCGATGAAGATGCCGAAGAGGGGAAAGTTGGGGCAGGAATGGAAATTGAGGGAATCGGTGGATTCATCGGACGAGGAGGAGGAAGAGGACGGGTCCTTGAAGGTATGTTTTGTTTTTTCTATGTTGATGTTCACTCATGCAGTGGTGTAGCCCCGCTCAGACACACCATCGGTGATTGTCACTCAGCGGGTTTCCCCCGCCCAACCATCAAGGCCCTCTGGGCCTCCCTGATCCCTGGGCTCTCTGAAGAAGGCCCCCTTCGGCCCTGGAACGGTAAGCTAGACTGCTTACCTCGGGTCCCCAAATCTAACATTCAGCAGACACCTCCGCTCATGCGCCCTGACATCCCCGAGTCATCTCAAGCGACTTCCGAGAGCCCGAGGGATGTGGCCCCAGTTGTGGACGCTGGGGCCATTCTCATTCTGGGACCGGTGAGTCCCATAAAGATATATTTCGCTGTCCCAACTGACTGACCATCCCCCACAGAACAACCCATGCAGGTGTTGCACGCAGTATGAGCTGCTGTGCACCACCAGGTTCAATAAGCGGAAGGGCATGGCCCTTATGTCATGTGTCCTGTGCACGACGAAGAAGGTCAAGTGCATCTCGGCACGTCTCGGGTCCCTAGCCTCCACCACTTGAGGACGGTCTACCGAGTGCTCGAGGGCCTCCTTGACAGGCCCATCAACCTCCCAGTCAGCAGTGTGGACCCGAAGCCAATCCCAGGGGCCGTCGGTAGCTCCAAGTGAGCCTCAGGGCATCCCACCCAAGCCACGGTCCCGGGGCCGAAGCAAGCCCTCGGGCTCGGCGACAATGCCCATCCCCCCTGCAGCTGGTAAGTCAATTCAATTGATGAAACATTTACCGTTATTGATTTGATTCCAGTCATTGCATCATTGAGTTCAGCTGCCCCCCATGCATCCCAGGACCTCCCGATCCCAGACCTCCACTGGATGTCGATCACAATTCATGAGAGCGCGAATTGCATCACAGCTCTGGAGGCTCGTGCCTCTGAACAGGAGAGCACAATCGATACACTCCGAAGGCTGCATGAGAGCCTTCGATGTCAGATCATGCAGCAACATCTGTCATTCCCCCTCCTGCATTCTCCTCCCGCTGCAACTTCATCTCTACTCCTTGATCAAGCCGCTCCTGGGTCGCAGTCCCATGTGCACTTGGCACCCTTGCCGCTCATCGACTTCAGCACCAACTCGACAGGTGAGGAATCCTCCACCATTGTTGCCCTGGTAATGGAGCCAACAATCCCACCCTCTCAGACTGAAGCGGTGTTGGACCCTGCTCCTGCCATTGCATCGACAGTTCCTGTCGATGCAGTTCACAGCCTGGCCGATGATGGCGCCTCCACCTTCGCATTGGCCTTCGCACTTCCGGGCCCCCCGGAAATGCACCCCAGCCCTTTGGAGACTCCCGCAGACGGCCCCCTGGAAATGCACCCCAGCCCTTTGGAGACTCCTGAGGATGGCCCAGGCGTCGCTGAGATTGTTGAGTGTGGGTCGCCCCTCAACCTCCTTCCGGAATATGATTCCAGTGATGAGCAGGACGCCACGATGCAAATGTAGATATACCATGATCCATTGTACTATAGTGTGAATACTATGAATTGTTTGTACCATAGAATTGTAGAGTACTCAACAATCAGTACCGCATACCCAACATTATGCAAACCTCTGAGCCCCGCGCATGTAACAAAGAGTCCCAAGGACCGAGTCCCGAGCATCTCGGTGCTCGGTACTCGGTCTTTGCCTTTCCGCTTTCAATCCTCGGCTCTCCAAGTCCCAAGCATCTTGGTGCTTGGTACTCGGTCTTTGCCTTTCAGCTTTCAATCCTCAGCTCTCCGAGTCCCGAGCATCTCAGTGCTCGGAACTCAGTCTTTGCCTTTCAGCTTTTGATCCTCGGCTCTCCGACCTCAATACCTCAGTAGTTGGTTCAGCTCTCGGTACTTGATACTGGGTGACCGGTTCACAATCCCCAACCCTTTGTACCAGTACTCAGTTCTCGGTACTCAGTACCTGGTTCGGCCCTTGGTACATGTACTCGGTACTTGACACTCGGTGACCGGCTCGCAATCCCCAACCCTCGGTACCCGGTACTCAGTTCTCAGTACTCGACCCTCGCTACTTGATCCTCGCTGCCCGGTTCAATATCCCCGATCCTCAGCACTCAGTTGTCAGCCCTCAGTCCTCAATCCTCGGTACTCGATACTCGGTGCCTGGGTCACCATCCCCAGCCCTCGGTACTCAGTACTCATTTCTCAGAACTCCACACCCAGGTCGCGATTCGCCATCCTCGATCCTCAGTGCTCGGTTCTCAGCTCTTGGTACTCAACCCTCGGGACTTGATCCTCACTCCGCGGTTTGCCATCTCCAATCCTCAGTACTTAGTATTCAGTACACGGTACTCCATTGGCCATACTCGGTACTTGCGGTTTGCCACCCTTGATCCTCGGTATTCGGTCCTTCAGTACTTGATCCTCACTGCCCGGTTCGCCATCCCCGATCCTCGGTACTCAGGACTCGGTACTTGGTGCTCCGTTTGCCATACTCAATACTCATTTATATGACGGTTCTTGCTCCTCGATCCTCCATGCTCAATAATCATTGATGCACCTACATCATCTAACTGATTGGTCTGATTTACCACCACTTCAACCCATCCATCCTCACAGCATTCATTCATCTCGGTCCACCCATACATACTTTACATATCCACCTCGGCCTACCGGTGTATAAGATATTCATTCACCTCGGCCCACCCGTTCATCTCATATACATATGAGATCCATCTATCTTGGCCCATCCGTCTATATTATATATGTCTTACCTTGGCCCACCCATATACAATATACATCGATCTCAGCCCATCGGTACATATGATATATCCCTCCCTTGGCCCATCGGTACATATGAGATTCATCTCCCTCAGCCCATCCATCCATATGATATGCATCTCTCTCGGCCCACATCTACCTCGGCCCATCCGTCTATATGATACATCTATCTTGCCACATCCATCCATATGATTCACATCCACTTCGGCCCATCCGTCCATATAATATACTAATACCTCAGCCCACTCATCTTTATGATCCATCTCCCTCAGCCAACTCATCTACTGTATTCTACTCTAGATATTACCTAGATGGGCCCACCCATCTCCATCGGGAATAATTTGCCTCTCGGCCCACCCATCTTCAATGAGGATATTATTACATTGGCCCATGGTCCGCTAACCCGTCTAAGATGGTGTATTATGTCCCTCGGCTGGCCCGTCTAAGACGGAGTTTGGTCACTGTAGTATGTGAATATCTAAGTGATAAATGTACCGGGGATTGCAGCCAACATGCCCAGACCACTGGATGACATGGAATCATCTTCTATATCATCATCCGGCCCAAGGTATAAATCATCTAAGGCATGTAAGATAAATACATAGATAAGGCATAGTACAAATAGATCTTACCTGTTGATGTACAGGACTGTGTTGAATCATCTACGTCCATTGAATAATGCTCGGTCACCAGAGGATTGTTAAATCTGACTGTTGGATGTGAATTCATGTTGAGGGACAGATGTACCAATAATTGATTGTGTACTTGAAGTTCAACTGAAGTCCAGCAACTTCCGAAAGTTGAACCATCGCCAAACAAAGCCAAACAAATCAACAAAGTTTTACATGGTCGTTCAACTGCCTGTTTTCCCTCTAAAACTTCATCATTTTCACATCTGATTCAAAGATTTACACATCTTTCTCATCATTCAACATGTCCACTGCAGCTGAAACCTCTTTTGCCAAACTTAAGGCAATCACTAGGCAGATTGTTGACATTGTCCGCGCGGCTCGGCTGCTCCCACCCAGCAACAGCCACTTGGCTCTGAAAGCACAAGTCACTGAACTGGTGGTATGTGGTTTTTCCTTTTTTTGTTTTTGTTTTCTCTAATGTCTGAGCAGGCTAAGACTGTCTGGGACCATGAGGATGCACCTTGCATTCCAGGCATAGTCTTGTCCTGCTCCAAGGAGTTACTTCACATTCGGCAGATGTCCCCCCAGGATTCACCTGACTGGTGCAGCATCGGCCATAACAATAAGCGCCTCCAGAAGCACAGCTGGTGCCACAAGGTCTCCGCATGGGAGGCTTTAGGCAACCGGACGTTCGATCTTCCTGTTGATGCCCCCAAATCCCCTGACACTGTCACGGTCGACCTTCCCTCCCCACCTGCCATCACTGGCAGCATTGCCAGCCCATCGTCCGGCACTACCAACGAGTCCCAGGGGAAGCGTAAGGATAAGGGTAAGGGTAAGGCATTAGATGCTGACCCGGAACCTGAGGCGGATGGGAGTAGGAAGAGGAAATTGCCCCTGATTTTGGGACCCTCCTCCCAACCGCTGAAATCCACGATGAAGAGTCACAAGAGGGCAAAGTCAGGTTGTGTTGTGAAGTCAGCCGAGTTTGTGGAGTCCGAGGACAAACATCAGGAGAAGGTATGTCATTCCGTTTTTTTTTCGTTCACTCATTATTTTGCAGCTGGCTGCCCAAGGAGGGCTGGTCGTCTTACTTCATCGTCTCACCTCAGTCTCGCCCCGGATCCCCAAGAAGGCACCTTTTGGCCCTGCGAAGGTATGTCCAATTTATGCCCAGATCACTCCCTGTCATCCTTACCTTCATCAGGTAATTGCCAGAAAGCGTGCAGACGTCGCTGGGCACACGGACTCGATGTCCAACACCCCTGTGGTCACCCCAGTGGTGGCACCAACTGTCATCAATGGCCCTGCTGGAAGCCGTCTGGAGGTCATCAAGTACTTGGACTCGACGTCCACCCCTGCGGTCACCCTCGACATGCCGCCAACTGTCATTGATACAGATGACATTCTCATTCCCGGACCCATGAGTACTTTGAAAATTCATTGGGCATCTGTTAAGGTTGTGCTCAAGGGAGAGGTTACTCAAAGGGCTTCGGCTTCAGCTCGTGTGCTGCGCCCCTTACCCGAGTACGTGCCCTTTAATTTCCAGGGGACAGAGGGGAAGTCCGACGGAAGTCCGGGGAGTTCCGGAGGACTTAGTGTCAGTGGAGTTCGGCAGAACTCCGGAAGGTTTATACGGGGGACAAAGTAAGGCTACTACAGAAGTCCGGAGTAGAAACTGAACAGAGGTTAGACTACCCTAAGGTAGAGCCAGAGAAGTAGTCCTAAGGTTTAACCCCTAAGACTCGGAGGTGGACAAGAGATGAGACTCAAGTCCGGAGATTGCAGGAATGAGCAGAACTAAGATGATATTCAAACTGAGGAGTTCCGGAGTATTACAGGGGTTTATATACTGTAGGTATCTTGTAAGTAAATCAGTCAGCAAAGGTAAGGGCTATGTACGAAGCATGTGGAAAGTCTATTAGTAAGTATAACAGATCAACGCAGTGAAGTTGGAAATGAAGTAAGAATGGACGGATCAGTAAGCATAGCGGAATAGGACATAACCGGTAACCGGAGCAATAGCTAATCTAAAAGGAGTTAGGGGTGAGTGCGGAGATGAAGGCGAAGCGCCGGGCAGAATAGTAAGACAGAGGACTGGACTTCAATGAAGTAGATCCGGAATTCCGGGTCCGGAGGTACAGGATATGACAGCAACCTTCAACTCACTGAACAAACAGAACAACCCATGCTGGGCTTGCAACAATGCGGAGTTGCCCTGCACAACCCAGTTCAACAAGAGGACTGGGAAAGGCCTTCTCTCCTGTGTTTTCTGCAACACAAAGAAGGTAAAGTGTTTTTCCATCACCCTCAGAAGTCCACTAAAACGATCACGGGGTAAGTCGACCACCCGGAAGGCCAGGTCCCGTCCACCTTCCAAAGGTCTGTCCACCTCCCAACCAAAGGCCCAGACCTGCAGCCAATCTCGTGGTGTAGCCGGAGCTACTGGTGCCGGTGCTACTGGAACTGCCAGTGGGTCTGCTCTGACCGCGCCTAAGATGCGTGGTCGCAGCAAAACAATAACTGCTGTCAAGGCACCCACCCCACCACCTACACCCTCACCTGCACCAGCTCGTAAGTCTTTCAAATTTCTCATCATCATCTTATCTTATTAGTTTGTAGTGATTGCATCTTCGAGTGCCCGTGTGCCTCGTGCGGCTCTCGATGTCCCCATGCCGGACCTCCATTCCATGGCAATCAGTATTTGCGATAGTGCCAGATGCATCAAGGCTCTTGAGGATCTTGTTGCCAAGAAGGGCAGACATATCGATACCCTCAGCAGGCTCCATGAGAGCCTTTGATGCGAAACCATGGAACACCATCCCTCATTTCCCCTTCCCACTACTCCGGCAATTGCAATGTCTTTGTTGCTTGATCAATCTGTCACTGGAACAACGTCACCCTCCCAATCCGCACTCCCTCCTCTCATTGATCTTTCAATCGCAGTGATGGAGCCCACACCCTCGAAAATTGAGGATCCCTCTGCCATCGATGGTCTCACATTTGAGCCAAGCCAAGGTTCAACCAGCCCCAGACCCATCACCTACTCCCCCAACTGCCAGAGACATTTTGGTGCCGGATGATCCATGCAACCTTGTCCTGGAATACAATTCTGCTGATGACATGGATGTTGAGGTCAAGGTTTAAGTTGAAGGTGGTGATGAGGGTCATCTGGGTAGGTTGAAATGTCTACATAATTGGTAGTTAGATTTCTGTAAATGTTGTTGAAATGCATTGTACCTCTGGCATACCCAAAGAAGGAATCATCGAGTTCCAGGTGACTATACTGATGTCCGGTTAACATCTAACGCGTCCAGGTACTAATATCAGCTCCAGGTATTTTGTAAATTGAACACATCACCAGTACCGAGTACAGAGTACTGAGTTCTGAGTTCTGGGCATCGAGTATCAACTACCGAGTTCCAGGCACTGAGTACCGAGTTACCAAGTCCAAGTTCTGGCATCAAGTGCCAAATACCGAGTTCTGGGCACTGAGTACGCATTCCGAGTTCAGGCATGCGAGTGCCAATACCGAGTTCCGGGCATCGAGCACCGAAAAACAGACATAAATAAACATTTTGTAAATTGAACAAATCACCAAGTACCAAGTGTTGAGTGCCGGGTTTCAGCACTTGGTACTCTATGCCCGGAACTCGGTGCGCCCAGTGTGTGTAGGAAAATAGACTCTGGGTGGATTCAGAAAGTCTAACAAAGGGTGCGAGACTTATACTCCGTCCCGGAGGGGATTGCTACTGGGTAGTGAGTCCTCAAATAAGTGCGAGGAAACAAAGACTAGACTCTGTCTAGTGACCCGAAGGGTTTACGGTCCTACTAGGACTGGGAACACAAAGATGGCGGAAGGTTCCCGACAAGCGGAACTAATGCGTGACGAGCAGAACTAACGGAACAACACGGAACAACAGAACAAATGGGGAACAAACAGAACTACTGGGGAACAAACGGAGGGAAAAGAAACTACGAGCCTGCAGGAGGATGATTGGGCAAAGTTGGACCAGGCTTGTGTCTGGTACTTGCTCCGAGTCGTCAGATCCGATGTTGGGCATTTCAAGCGGAACTCACGGGGGCAGGAACGATGCAATG